TATAATAAGGTATCTTATATTCCCTCCTATAGGGAACAGATACTATTATTAAATGTATAATAGTAAATATTATAATGTATCTTATATTCTATCTTATAGGGAATAGATACTATTATTAAATGTATAATAGTAAATATATAATAAATATATAATAATGTATCTTATCTTCCCCCCTATAGGGAATAGATACTATTATTAAGTGATAGAAGAATTTTCCTACAATAATATGAGTGGAGCTGACGTTTTCATTGAATTTCAAATTGCCTTGCATTCCACAAAGTTGTTCTCATCCAGGCCCCAGTGGATAGCAGTTTCGACCTCGCATCGGTCTTATCAACACCCTCAGCGGGAGTCGAACCGTGACAGTGCAGAATGCGAGCTCGACACGTTAACTACTCGGCCACATTGCCACAAGTGCTCTTGGGTAATAGGGCCCATGCGAATTTCAACGAAGGCCAGGCCTTTTTTCATATCACATTATTTTGTGGGATTGTCGATAAAGCAAACGTATTTTTGCTATAACAATCGACTATGTTACTTATTTCGTATTTAAGTAGAGTTTTTGAGGCTACCTTAACTTTCATTTAGTGGTAAAGTGAATGGAGGCGAGATTCGTAGCTTGATTTCACAAGGAGACGACGGCAGAATCCCGATGTACTGCAGCTGTTTGGCTTTAATACAACGTTCCGGTTGACGCAATTCAGCAAACATTCTCCCTTGCTTCGGATGAAGACGAGTTGAGCTTTCCACCATCATAACATGGACATAATCAAAGCTGGAACTCATTCAAGTATTGAATTGGAAGCGATTCCTCATTTCGACCAAATAATTACGCCAAAAGCAATCTTGCCTTCTGAATAGTGTTTGCGGATAGTTAAATCGCAAGAGTCTAATCGTAATGAAACCCGACAAAAGTGGAGCAGTGGTAGTCATGGATAAGTCAAGTTATGTAGAAAAAAAATGTTAGTTCATTTCAATGACACTGAAACGTATAGGCCTTTACTGAGATATCCAACAGAAAGACTCAAGATTGGGCAAAAGGATGCGTAAGTAATTGGGAAATGAAAAAGTAGAAAAGGAATTCACTACTCCAGAGAGATGCAAGCACCTCCACGGTTTACAATCTTCCTAAGGTGCGCAAAAAGTGTGTCCCAACAAGGCTAATTGTAAATGATAGTTGTTTTTTATGCATACAACTAAGATAAACTGCCAATTTTTGGCTATATTCAGTTGCAAATTCTTATGATTTTGCGAAATTGATTGATCAGCATACACTTTCAGAGGAAGATAAGCTAGTAAGTTTTGATGTTGTGTCTATATGCACAAGTATTCCTATTCAAGGCGCTATTCGGGGTCTCACACAAACTTCTGGAGGACTATCCAGACAGCATAGAAGGTATAAGGGTAAGCATAGCCTCTATTCTTAGACTGCATAATTTTTCCATAAGTATCAGCTATTTTATCTTTGATGGCCAGTTTTATGAACAGACAGAAAGACTTGAGATGGGATCTTGATTAGAACCCATCTTGGTGAACAACAATATGGCCAAACTTGAAGAACACCATCTGGAACGGGCAATACTAACCCACAAATTGTGGGTTAGATATATGGATAACTATTTTGTCATCTGGCCTTATGGTAGGGAATGTTCAACTAGTTTCCTACTTTCACTCAACCAGCGCGAAATGAGCGTTAGGTTCACGATGAAAATGGAAGAGAATAAATCCTTACTTTTTCTGGATCTTCTCATCACTCGAGAAGAGAGTAAGTTAGCAAGCCAATGTATGCTGGCGCTTTTCTGAATTTTCTTTTTAACCATAGTTACAAAACGAAGACCGGAATTTCGAAATCAATGATTAGTATAAATATGAGACTGGCGGATAGCAACCATTTGACTAAAGAGTTGGAATTGCTGAAAAATGTGTTCCTGGAAAATAATTATCCATTGGGTCTAACTGTTTATAATATTGCATTATTGAGAAATACATTTTGAGATGGAGACTATTTAGTCAAAGATAGAAGAGCTGATACCCTTTTTCATGTCCTCATTTTGCCGTCATGCCTTCTTTCAAAAAAAGATGGGCGAATTAGTAAGAAGTGTAGGAGAAAAACAGTATTCAAAGAAACCGTCACACTTTCTTCGGTTATGCCATCTTTCAGAGCAAAATATGACCCATTGTCGAGATCCAGCTGCTACAAGATTGTGTACTCCTGTCGTCGATCTTATGTTTCTGAGACATGTCAGCCTATTCGACAAAGATTGGGAGAACACAAAAACGCTTGTAAAGGAAACTGGGTCCAACTGGCAGACATGGCCGAACACATTCCAGAGACTGGACATGAGATATGATGATCTCAAACGAGTAGGAACTAGTTATGCTTGATTGATAGATTGAAAAGTAGAAAGGTGTTGAACCGCCATCCAAAGTAGGCGACCGTTTTCCCACTATTGTAGGGTTAAAACGTCTCGTGGAATGTTTCAATCTCTGGTGAAATCGACATTTTGAATCTACTTTTCATACACTTTCATACGAAATGAAAGTCCAACCAATAGAGCTGATGTTTTCCACTGAATTTCTCATTGCATTGTCTTCTCAAAAGGTGTTCTCATCCAGACACACCCAAATCGGCAGCCGAATCATGACAATGCATCGTATAATCATGACACGTAAATCAGTACGCCACATTGCCCCGATTGCCTTTGTAGATGCGAAACTTAAGGATCACAAAATAAGGATGTTATGACATATTCCTGAATATAACTCACGATTTGCAAATAACTATTTTAGTAATATCGTCTAGTAAGATGACAAAGTCATCCTAGGTCGCTTAAATGGCTGTAAGTAGTGCTATTTGAATTTCACTCATTTAACTGTGTAGACTTAATTATGCCGGTAAAATTAACCTGACCATACCCCTCGAAAGGATATATCATTTCTCAAACTTTTATCGGTTATGCCATCGTTTAGAGCGAAATATGACCCATTCTTGAGATCCAGCTGCCACAAGAATGTGTGCTCCTGTGTTCGATCTTATGCTGCTGAGACATGCCGGCCTATTCGACAAAGATTGGGAGAACGGAAAAATGCTTGCAAAAAAAGCTGGGTCCAACGGCCAGAAGTAGCCGAACACGGGCCAAAGACTGGACACGGGATAGAATCATCAAAAACGAGTAGATTTGATGATTATGGTACGTCTACTGTTACTAAAAAGATAGGAGAGGCTATTGAAATTAATGGAATAGGGAATACAATGAATGTGAGGAATGGTGGTAGAAAACTGAATAAGCACTACTTATGAGATGTATTCACCCTATATCGTCTAAGTAAAATTTTCCCACAATGATATGAGTTGGGCTGACGTTTCATTGAATTTCACTAAGTGAATTTCAACGAAGGTCAGGCCTCTTCATCACTTTAGACGAAATAGGGTGAATACATCTCATATTACTTATTTACTCGTGGTCTCGAAAGTCTACTTTAATACGAAAAGCACTACTTATGCTATATATATATATATATATATATAGTATATAATAAACATATTATACATTATATTATATTCTATTATTTGAGAATTTAACGATAAAGTTGCACAGACATTGTATGTGTGCCTGCTGACGACTAACCATGCCAGCTTCGCGTAGCTTAGTGAGCATGACGATGATGGTGGAATTTTGCTCCCAGATCATGCGCCAAAAGTCTTCGACTGTCTTGGGCAGCGGTCCCTGCGTCGCGATGTAGGCGCATCTGCTGCGATAGCCATCCACGTAGCTGGCGTTGATGTAGTCGGAGCCTTCGACTCCTCGAATCGGCTGCAAAGCGACTCGTGTCGACTCGTAAGGCAGCACGTTGGCGAGTCGGTTCTTTTTTATGTTGCAGGGCAAGTTGGCCGAGGTGTAGCGGGCACTGGCGAGACGGAATTGCGCTAGTTTCTGCAAAAAGACAAAGCGCCAGCAATGAGAGGAATAGAGGGAGAAATAACC